ACGCAATGTCTCTGACACGACACGCGCGTCCAAATGCGGATCGGAGGAAGGTGACCGAGTTCTACGTCAACGACCAAGACCGTGACAGATCACTAACCAAAACCTGATTAACAATCACGTGTCTCCAAAGCGGTTTCCGACCTGAAACCTGCTGGGGATGCACGAAAGGATTTAAAACGTCCCCATGAAGAAGTGGGCGAGGGAAGCCTGCCCAGTATCTTACCGTAACGTCCCCAACTTCGCCAACACCCACCTGACCCCCGGCGTCCTATGTTCTACTGGATCCCGTGGTCATCATTAATACAAACTGCTATTCCCAGACATGCAAAGAGCATTTTGATTGATTTTTCCAACTTTGATTCCTTGCCAGGTGCTTAGGAAATCGTCTTCTCACTCCCCCCTCCACCCCAACACCCACCACTGACTATTTTAGGGATGGTTGGGCCCCAGGGCAGCATGGGTCCCTGGGATCCGAGGTGCTGGGGGATTCCGGGAAAGAAACTTCCTGGCCGGATCTCCCGTGACCTACTTTTACGCTTCCTCTTCTGTGAAACGACCAGCAAGCTTCCTTATTATCCAAACTGATTTTGAATCCGGGCCCTAAAGCATCCTGATTCACACAGGTGGTTTTTCAGGTAAATTCCTACATAAGTAGGGCCTTCGGGTGCCTTTAATGTCCAGAGGAGGGGAACATCCGGTCCTCGGGCCGTATCTGCCCCGGGAAAACATTTGGTCTGGCCCTGCCCAGGCCTCAGGGGTGAGTTCATTAAACCTCTGACCGCCTTAGCTGGTTTGGCTCAGTGGATAGAGCGTCGGCCTGCGGACTGAAGGGTCCCGGGTTCGATTCCGGTCAAGGGCACATGCCCGGGTTGTGGGCTCCATCCCCAGTGGGGGGCGTGCAGGAGGCAGCCGATCCGTGATTCTCTCTCATCATTGATGTTTCCATCTCTCTCTCCCTCTCCCTTCCTCTCTGACATCAATAAAAACCTATTTAAAAAAATACAAATGACGATGTTTCTAAAAAGCAGCAGTTTCCACAGCAACAGCCAAAGGGCAAGAAGAGAAGACCAAAGTGGGAAAAAGCAACTGGACAGACCAGTTCCTAAAAGATGGGCGAGGGCAGAGGGAGTGAGGACGGAGTTGGCCACTCGCAAGTCTCCAGGGAAAGGTCACGGCCCGCCTGCCCAGGCACGGAGCGCTCCCCGCGGGCCACCGGGTCCTTTCATCGCGATGACTTTAGCCTGCATGCACTCATGACTATAAGAGGCTGTCTTCCATCAACAATAGGTTATAAGAGGCTGCCCTCCCTCTCAACATTGAGGTTTCAAACTATGTTTAAAAAAACTACTCCTAGTTTTGCATTTCTGATGTTTGCACAGAAATTAAAATGTACAAACCATGGCAGAAAGAGCGCTGCCATGGTCCCAGCCGGCCAGCGTGCAGCAGCCGGGGCCGGCGGAGCCGGACCGTGTGTGTGACTTCAACTTCCTGCCCGACGTCAGCCACGCCCCTGTCGCCACAGCCGGGGTGGGCACCTCTATTTTAAGGTGTGCAGCTCCAAATTGCTTAAGAGCATAGAATTGCTTTTTTAAAAATAAAGGCATATAATTGCTTAAAAAAAAAAAAAGGCATATAATTGCTGGCCAGTTTCTGATGCTGAGAGTGTCGGCTGCCTTTGCACCAAGAATAGAGGCCTCATCTCCCCAGACCCACACCTAAGCATCAGGTGTTGAGGGTCCGAGCGCACCGCCAGGGAAATCACACCGGCCACACCCGTGAAAACATCACACAGGACACGCTGACAAGGAAAGAATCAGGAAGATAACCCTCATTCTCTCTCTCTCTCTCTCTCTCTCTCTCTCTCACACACCAGGCACATCCCCAGAAGGGGGTGTGCAGGAGGCAGCTGATCGATGTCTCTCTCTCATCAATATTTCTGACTCTCTATCCCTCTCTCTCCTTCTCTGTAAAAAATCAATAAAATATATTTTTTCAAAAAGAATCAATTGGTCAGAAGTGTGGGTGGCCCACGTACCCCCAAACTGTAGTTAGGGCAGTCTTGTTAGGAATGGTGCCCTTAATCTGTGGGTGCTGTCTATACTAGCTTGGGTGGTTAGTGCCACAATTGCATTACAGGAAACCATCCTGGATTATAAGGCTGGGCCTAAAAGTGCAATCACAAGTGTCCTTATAAGAGGGAAGCAGAGGGATATTGACCCAGAGAAGGCAAGGGGACCACTAAAGCAAGGTGCTGCCCTATTGGCTTTGAGATGGAAGAAGAGGCCATGAGCCAGAACATGTGAGAGATGCAGCTATAGAAGCCGGAAGACAAGGACACAGATTCTCCTTGGAGCTTCCGGAGGGAGGCTGACCCTGGGGACACCCTGATTTGGGCTCAGTGAAACTAATTTTGGGCTTCTGACCTCCAGAACGTGCTGTCTTAATCCATCAAGTGGTGGTCATTTGTTACAGCAACCTTAGGAAACACACACAGGCCTCCGAGCTGACCATCTGAAAACCTATCCGTCTGGCTGACAGTCCACTCGGGAGGCTATCTGTCCAGGAGTCAGGCGGCGCCTGGGGCTGGCCAGGGCCTTGCTCTGAGCTGTAGTTGTAGAGGCCAGAGAAGGGTCGGGGGGCTGGCTGGTTACACCACGGAAAGGCTTCACCTGGCCAGGCTGTCTGGGTGTTATTCTCTCCTCTTCCAGCTCAGTCGATGCTCTCAGGGTGGGGCATCCGAGGGCTCAAGCAGCGTTGGACTTGAACTCAGTTCTACACAGACGTAAAGGCTGCTAGCCTGTCACACCCCTTAGACCTGTCTCCATTGGAAATTCCAGGAGAGCCCCCAGCCCCCAAGACAGGGGCAGGAAACTGGGAGTACAGAGTGAATTCAGAGACAGAGTTGCTGTGTTTGGGGGGCACCCTGCACCCCCCAAATGTGTTCAGCCATCCTTAACGCCTTCCCACACTCTCCACCCGCAAGACGTTCCCTTCCCAGCTCCACGTGCTGAAATCTCATTCTTCCTCGAAAGTCCATCTTCTCTGGGATGTATTTTCTGATCGCTCCACCCAGTGGTCACGGAACCTAAGTGCCCTAGACACAAGGGACCTAAACCTGCCCCGGGCCTTGTGTCAGGAGCCTGAAATCTCCAAGGACAGGGGCCACCCCTTCGGTGTTCCAGCACAGCCCCTCTCCCCGGGACACAGGTGGCTCCTTCCAATGCGTCATTGTCACTCATTCAGTGCATTCCTCCACTGAGTCACTGGTCAGACTGCTCCTGTGCCCAGGGGCAGTGGAATGAGCCAGCCTGGGTGGGGGGGGGGGGGGGGGGGGGGGTGCAGGAGGCAGCCCATCCATGATTCTCTCTCATCACTGATGTTTCTCTCTCTATTTCTCCCTCTCCCTTCCTCTCTGAAATCAATAAAAAATATATTTTTAAATATAAAATTTGAATATATCTTTTAAATATAAATTTTTTAAATATATATTTTTTTAATGCATCATCTTTATTGTATAGAATCTAAACGAAAGCCGCATGGCCCTACCCATCCCCACAGAGCCGGCCTCGCAATATTATGAACCACCTGGCTCCGCCCGCCCCTGCCAGGCCACCATCAGCCACGGATCACGCTCCCTCAGTGACATGCTCTTTATTGTATAGAATCTAAACGAAAGCCGCATGGCCCTACCCATCCCCACAGAGCCGGCCTCGCAATATTATGAACCACCTGGCTCCGCCCGCCCCTGCCAGGCCACCATCAGCCACGGATCACGCTCCCTCAGTGACATGCGTGGCCCCTACTTTTCTTGACACGTAATTACTCGACTTGGGCACGTTCGAAGCAGCAGACCACACACACGGACGGCAAGGCCAGCACCACCAGCCTCGCTTTCCGTCCATTATCTCAGGGGGAAGGACACACCTGCTTACTGGTTCCACTTTCCCACCAGGAGCTGGACAGGGGGGTGGGGGGGTGCTGCCTCGCTCAGACATCCCCTTCTACCAACTTCTCAGACACGCCACCGACTCATGGGCTTCGGTTCAAAAACTGAATTGCAATCTAGGCAGACACTTTTTTTTTTTTTCAAAACAGGGTCCTGTTTTCACCTCTTTCTGCCAGAAGATAAGAGATGCGCGTCTGATACCACAGTGGCCACGTGACCAAAGTGCTCAGATATAT